CCCTCCAAATAAAACACAACAGCAAACATAAGACTGGCTGCACAGTGGGCTGGTTGTGGAGGGTGAGCGTTGTTCAGATGACTGGATTCACAGTTGCAAGCCATTTGCCTAACAGACCTGTGTAAATGGGATCAATTCCTTGATTTGCAGGAAAAGGAATTTCTCGGCTGTCACTAAGAGCCAATTCACCCTTTTCCACTCTTCTGTTCCTGAAGATATTTATAATTTGTTTGTGATTTATTGAAATTTGCCTGGCTGGATTAGGGTGTCTTTTAAGGGTCAGTTTAACTCCTCTGGGCTGCTCCACGCCCTTGGGGAAGCTGTCTTTCTGCATGCTGTTTCTGAAGTCGCACCTGCCTCTGAAGTCTATGAAATGGTGCGTGTAACCTCATACATAATCTACTCCTGCATTTTGAGTATGAAGGTATTAGAGGACACAACAGGCGGTGTCAAAGCTCTCGCAGGCCACAGCTTCTTTCCAACATTCGCTTCTGTTTGTAACTTCTGGGGCAAACGTTGGTTAAAGCCGTGGTTTGAAAAATTCATTAGCCTCAAAAATTAATGGTGCTAAATGAGAATTCTTAGTCAAATATTCTTCTGTGATTTAATTAGTGTCTACCTGTGTATTCCAGTGACTCACTTTGATCAATAATCTTTCTAAATACACAGAAAACATCAACATTTGAAATATGTGTTTGCTTTTCACATCTGTCCCTTTATTGATTGCCTGTGAGAAGTATTAGGAGCAGATTTATGCCTTCTCTATGAAGAAAACACCTCATTTCTACCTGCTTTAAAAAATTTTTTTTCTTCTATTTCTCATGTTTGTTTCTTTTTCTTGCTTTTGTTCCCAGGCCCCTTCCTTCTCACTGTGACTTCCTGCCAGCCTTTGTCAGCAGGCTCTGTTTCTTTTTTCCTTGTGACCCAAGGATTGGCATCAGCAGCGAGGCTGGACTGGAGTCCGGCTCATGGCCAGCCCAGCAGTAGGAGGGAGGAAAGATGAGAGGGATTGTACTGCTTGGTGATTTTTATTATTTTTGAGTGGAGCCAAAAGGAGACATCAAGGAAATAGAACACACCGTGTTCAGTTTAATAAACCTCTGTAGAGGGCATCCTAATCTTATGTGATGAGAGAGAAGGTGTGGCTTACCTGGGAACATAGCCATGGGACACAAATGCGGAAGCATTTGAGAGATGAGATTTATTACTCTAGTGTCTGCTTGAGTTCTAAGGCATTACAGCTGTGGAGTGTTCCAGTACTGCTCATGATGAGGTAGCAGACAAAGGCTGATCTATTGTGACTGTAATTATATGAGTTTCCCTTTGCTGCTGTAACTAATAGGCTACCACAAATTTAGTGACTTAAACCAAACATTATGGTTCTGATGGTCAGGAGTCCTAAAGTCAAGGTGTTGGCAGCTTTCGGCCTTAGCCAATTTCCTTGTTGCTGAGACACAATATCTTACACTTGCAATTTAAAGGAGGACAGGTTCACTTTGGCTCCCAGTTTGTAGAGATTTTAGTACATAGTTGGCTGACTCCAAGGCAGGACAGCATGGCAGAGGGGCCTGGCAGAAAACAGTGGCTCACTTCACGGTGAACAGGAAGCAGGAGGTCAAGAGAGGTGCTGGGAAGGGAAATAAACCCTTCCAGTCCATGCCCATGTGACCAGCCTCTTCCAACCGGACCCCACCTCCTACCAGCAAGTCAGTTATGCCACCCTCCTAATCCATTCACCTTCCGAAGTTCCCGCCTCTGAGTGCATGAGGCTTTCGGGAACATCTAGATCCAAGCCATAACACCTTCCTCTGGATATTCCAAGGGAGAACTTGTTCCTTTCTTTCTCCCGCTTCTAGAAAGCATCTACATTCCTTGGCTTGTGATCCTTGCATCTTCAAAGCCAGCCTTCTCATCACTGTGACCTTTGCTGCTGTTGTCACTGCTCTCCTTCCTCTTATTTAAGGATCCTGTGGTTACATTGGACCCCGCCACATAATTGAGAAAAGCTCCTTATCTCAAGACCCTTAACTCCACAAACCTGTTTTGCCATGTGAAGTAACATATTCATAACATATTCATAGGCTTGGAGGTTGGGGCATAAACACAGGCAATGGTAGGGCTTGCTATTATTCCCTCCCCCCACATACCTGCTCTTCAACCAGCTGTTCAAATTTTACAACTACTGATATCAGTTGTAGGCAAATTGTAGTCAGCTGGACTATAGCATTTTTAAATGCTATTTTTACTTTTTTTGAATCCTTCTCCACATAGAAGCCGAAATAACAACTGTGCTCTGATGAATCTGCAGACCAACACAGGTTCAAGCACCCCGAGCTTTGTTAATCCACACATTCTTTGTGCTTGATGCAGAGAATCTATTGGGTTTTGAAACCTTAGTGCTAACGGCTGGTACATTTCTGAGGTATTGTGCCCACCAAAGATATAAAGCAAATCTAATCCTCTGGATAAAGGTTTCAAATCCACAAAATTCCAACTCTATCTCTCTACTAAGATCTGATGGTTCTGAGAGCGCTCATGAGTTAGTAATGTACCTTCTCATGGCCAGTTTCCACTGACCATTTTATGAGTATCAACTGTCAGCATCGTCAGGGTAGAAAATGGCTTTTCTACTGAAATCATCAGAGTGGTGCTTTGTCCAAAATAAAAGTTCTTTACCGTCTTTGTCTTCATGCTTTATAGAAACTGGTGAGGAGAGTGAAGAGAACATGCAGGAGGCACATACCAAGTGGCAAGAGGTAGCGGGCACATGGTTTTTATCCTAAGAACAGTGGGAACTATCGAAGGAACTTAGGTAGCAAAGAAGAGGTGGGCAGGGGAGAAGGTAGGACCTGTCCATGGGTTTTTTGGCTTAGAGATAGTGGATGGATGGCAGCTCTGTCCTGAAATGGGAAGCAGAAAAAACAGCTGAGTTTGGAGGTGAGGTGTAGATTAAACTGAGGTTGCGAGGGGACATGAGAGTAGAGGGAGCCCACAAGAAGGCGGCTCTACTGAGGCCCAGGAGAATTGGATTCTGCTCCTCAGTGTGAAAATGACAATGAGGCATTCTATTGGTGAGGGTGTATCGAAGAGAGGATGGCAGGAGATAGAGACCAGGGAGCATGAAATTTCAAAGGAGAGGCAGAGCAAAGGCTTTGAAAAAAAAAAAAAAAGAGTTAGAGATGTACCTGGAAAGTCTGAAATAGATGACATATTGAAAAATTGGTAGCAGGTTCAGGATCTACCTCAGTGGCAAAGCATGAATGAAGTCCTGGATTAAATCAGGGCACACACACACACACACACACACACACACACACACACACACACACAGATAAATCTGTGCTCATTGCTTGGGTCCTAGACCTGGAAATATATTTAATTGTAATAAAATGTGGCTTGTTTATTTATAAAACAGGTACAGTGACTCCTCATTTGGATCACAGGGTTGTGAGGTTCAAATATAAAAAGGCATTTTTGTAAAGTGTTATACCAGCGTCTCAAACTTTCAGCGTGCATGAGACCATTTGGAGGGATTCTTCAAACAGTGCTGCGCTTCTGGTTGTAGTAATTTCTGACTAAGAAGCCAGGCTGGGGTTCTCCAAATTTAAATGTACTCAGGTGATTCTGATGTTCTGGGTCTTTATGAGACGCTATGTGATACAAATGCAAGGAAGTATGGATTCGAAATTAGCAAAGTTCAGTCTCCCCACCCTGTGTTGTCTGTTTCATCCCTCAATGATGTTGCTGAAATTTGCTTACTCTCGTACCTAGCAGAACTGTGTCTGTCTACCTGGGCGAGAAAGATCAGCTCGGTGCAGGATTTTGTAGGTTGCTTACAATGGTGAGCAAGGACCTGATGTTAGCTTGAAGGGGAGGGAGACTATGTGCTCTTCTGAGCAAGCGGTAAGAGCTTTATGGAGTACCCAGTGGCATTATTTTTCCCAAGTCGAGTAGATGCAAAACGCTACTTATTGGCATCTTACAAAAATCCCTTTGGAGACTCTGTAACTTGACCCAGAGGGAATCGCACAGGAGAGTCAGGGAAGAGGAAAAATTGACCTCACTCTTCAGTCCTTTTCTAAATCCGGAGAAATGCGTATACCTCAACACTCCCTTTTTCAAGCCTACAAAACAGGGAGTCAGGAAAACGCATTAGCACCCTCATCCGGACTGGAGACCAGGGCTGGAGGGGGCGGCTCCACAAGGTCGGACCGAGGGAGGAGGGTCTCGGGGCTGCGTCACGAGGGTCCGGAGAGCCGGGACGATGGGCTGCACTGTGTCCCCGGTGGAGGCAGCGCCCCACTTCCAGGCGGGATGGAAGGGGGATCTGCGGCTGGGTCTGGCGGGGCCCCGCCTTCCGCCCCGCCCACCCCGCTACGGCCCGGGGCTCGGGCCTTTCGGAACGCTGAAGTTACTCGGTGAAGGGGAGGGGCGCCGAGCTCCTGTCCAATCAGAGCGGCTGCTCCGGCTACAGTATTTGCATATATTATGCTAATAGCCGACCTCCAGCTCCGCTCCCCGCCCCCCTGGAGGGGGTTGTCCAGGGAGGATGGGCGGGGCGAAGGTGAATACATTATGCTAATACAACGAGTGGCGGGGCGGGGTCGGGGCGGGGCGTCCGCCCGCACTCACACTCCGGGGTCCCGGAGGGTATTTAAGGCTCACACGCCACAGAGCCATAGACGCTTCGGGTAGCCTCGGTCCTTTCCTTCGCTCCAGGGCCATCCTCGTTCTCCCCCGTGCCCTTGGCCACCCTTCGTGGGCTGCGCTCTCGCGGACCTGCATCCAGGTGGGACACAGGTCGCGCGTGGGCAGATCTCGGCCAGCAGAGATAAGCGAAGTAAGCGAAGCAACAGGTCCGGGTGTCCCGGCTCCGCCAGGTAGGCGGCGCGCAGGTGTCCCTTCGTCCGGCCGCCGCGGGATGCTCCTCGCGCGCGGGTCCCCACGCTGAGCCCGCGTCCGTCCACCGCCGCGCCTGCAGCCGCAGGAACAAACTGAACTTCTCAGGAATCGTCCTCGCGCTTCTCCTGAGATCCCCGCGGGACGCCGAGGGGGAAGGTGCAGCCCAGCCCGCCGCCCCCGCCGCGATGCTGCCGAAGAAGCCCGCAGGGAAGGGCGCGGCGCGGGAGCCGGGGTCCGCAGAGCCCCCCGGCCCGCCCTGCACCCGCACCGCGCCCCCATGCGCGGCCCTCTCCTCCCTCCTGTCCGTGGCCGCGCTGGCTTCGTGTCTGTACCTCGGGGTGAAAACCTGCGACCTCCAGGCGAGGGTTGCTGCGCTGGAATCCGCCAAAGGCGCCCCCTCCATCCATCTGCTGCCTGACACCCTGGATCAGCTGAAGGCCGTGGTGCAGGAGAAAGTGGAGCGCCTTCTGGCTCAGGTGTGCGAGACTGGGGTATTTTGCACGTGGGTAACATTTTCCACAGGAGTCTGGGCGCAGGAGCAGCCTGAGAGCCCCCTGAGCATGCACACCCGCTTTGACTGTGTGCGGCCGTGTCAGGCACGTGTGGCATGTATTTGCACAAGTGCACATCTCTTGACACCACCAAGTCTGTCATCGTCCCCTACTCCGCTTTAACGTTTGCCTGCTAAGCATACAGAGAGGGGTGAAGGGGAGGAAGAGTGGCCAGGATGGCAGGGGACATTTTATCTTTCTAGTTTTCTGGAGTCTCATGTGACTCTTTCTCAGCTGTATGGAGAATATTCCTTGCAGAGATAACATCTGTTAAATGCTTCACATCTTACGTGGAGGTTAGAGTTAGAGGTGTTATTAATACACAAAAGGCAGTCTCTCTTAAGACTGAAGTAATCCCGTATGTGATTTAAAGTCAACATTTTTGCCTATTGAGCCTTTTCATATCAAAAGTTGAAAAATTTTTAAAAAGTAGCTTTATTTTTGGTGCAGTGCCGAGTACTTGTGAACGCAGAGCAGTGCGGTTGGGGTGAGAATTGAAAGGAATCTGCATCATGTTTAAGGACGGCTTTTAGGGGAGAGTTGGGGGGTGTTTGAAGTTGCTCTATCAACAGGAGGCTGCTTGGCAGCAGCCGCAACACAATATGTATAAAATAGTGGGCGTCACTGGTGAGCCTCAGTTTACCTAGAAGTGCACACATTTGTGCCAGGTTTTAGCACTGACTGCTTATGCCTGGGCTGAGGGAGAGGGCAGTGGGGCTGAAGGCAGAAAGATGTTAGACAAATCCAGCAATCTTGCTACCATGTCAATGGTCATTTTCTTTTTTTAGGGCTTGGGTACAGTTACCTTTTGACTAAGGTCCAAGTACATATGTACATGTTAGTCATGCAAGCTCCGAAATGCTGGTGAATCAGGCATATGGCCAGAGTCCCCAAGGAATCCATTCCTTTATAGTGCTACTGATGAGTGTTCATGCCTCTTCTCTTCCTGCAGAAATCCTATGAACACATGGCTAAAATAAGAATCGCGAGAGAAGCACCTTCGGAGTGTAACTGCCCAGCAGGTAAAATGGAACTTATTAACGAGGTCTCTTCCATAGAAGTGCATTTGAAATCAATAGTCGTGTGTCTGACAAGTCTACCTGTAATAGCAGTAAAGAAAGAATGCAGACCCAACTTGCTTTAATAAAATCAACATGTCTCAGTTAAAGGGATGCAAATAAAGTCCCAGATATTATTGTAAGCAGCATACCAAGGTCTGGTAGGGAAAGCAAGAGATGGAGAGAATTACCATGGAAAATATGGGCAAGATGATGTACAAAGACAAAGGGCTTAGATTCACAGATTGAGAAGTATTCTTCAGCTTTATGAAATTAATGTCTGGTGAAAAGGACTGTAGAACTGTTAGATTCTGAATTCCCTAGTGGGTAAGTTGCACTAGCGCATGTTTCTGTTTATTCTTTGGTGAGGATTATGTTAGAAAACACCTGCACTGCTTTACTTTCTCCCCCACTCTATCAAGAAAATTCTTTCTCCTATTCCATAGTGAAAGGTGAAGACCAAGAGGACATTAGTTCTTTATCTTGAGCTTTGTATTACAAAACTATCCTTAATGATTTCTCAGAAAAGGCTCTTATATTTTTACCATTTGTTTTTTCTGTGTGGTTTCAGGGGAACTATATTAATGATAGCATAACAGAAGGATGGAGAAGAGAAACCTCAGTGAATCACATCTCCCTCCCCCATAATTGATAAATCTTCATTCACAGATCTCTGAGGCTTGGTGGTCACCTCTAGATGGATTCTGTGATATAAGCCATAAAACCTATGACTCTTGAGGTGTTTTTCAGATAAATGCTATTAATGCATTTATGAACACTTTAGTTTCTTTTGTCATCATATGTGGAGAGTGAGTCTCTTACATTTTCATTAATGGTCAAGGACATGGTTCTTAGAGACTTAGAGAGTCCTGGGGTGCACAAGGTTGTTCCGTCACCCACAGATGACACAGGTGATGGTGGTGCCAGATGTTATGGCCTCATGGCATCATGGCCACCTTAGTTTGTGTAAGTGTACTGTGTGATGTTTCTGTGATGAAATCATCTAAGGACACAATTCTTAGCACATATGCCCATTTTAAAGTGGCACAGGATGTGAAAGGAGAGTTCCTTACTTTCTTATATTCTGAGATTTTATTTCTTCACATGATATCTTGTTTTGACACACCTAAACCAGTACCATGCTTAGAAATTTTAAATGCCATATCAACTCTAGGTTGTACAGCATACTGTTAAAAGTACTGTTTATAGGGGCTGGGGATTTAGCTCAGCGGCAAAAGCACCTGCCTGGCAAGCACGAGGTCGTGAGTTCGGTTCCCGGTACCGGAGGAAAACCCCCCCCCCCAAAAAAAAAACAAAACAAAAAAAAAAGTACTGTTTATATTCTGTTGATGATAGTTTTTAATTGAAGACTTTTGATTGAAAAGACACATTAGGTAACAGGAAAATAAAATGTCAACATTTGTCATTATAGACCTCATTCTTGGTTGTTTTTTTTTTGCTGGGAAAGATATCTGAAGTTGGATATTCAAGAAAGGCACTTCTAGTACGGGAGTTAACTCACAACAGCTTCTCAGTATGCAGGGATTGTTTAAATTCCCAAGACAGTTGGTATGGTACAGGACTTCATACTCATACCACTGGAGTCCAGCACTTAAAAATTATCATCAGTGTATGTAAGACATAATAGTTACATTTATTTTGAGGAATTGGTACATCTATATAGCATATCAGGATCATTTCTGATTCTTTTAACTTGCCTGCCTTCCCTTGATCCCTTCCCACATCTCCAGTCTTTGTTTCTGATGTATCTCCTTTAGTTTACTTTTATTTATGATCTATATTTCTCTTTTAAGAGGAACCATTTAATATCTACCTTTTCATGAGTCTAGCAATTATTTTTTGTATACGGTACTTTTCCTATCTGAAAAGTAGCTAGTGTTTAATAGGAGTCTAAGCAAGTGTGGTGAAAAGTGACCTCTACAACCCTGAGCTCTGTTTTCTGAGGAGACATTACTGCTTCATGGTGTCTAATGTGGGCTAGTTATTGAAGTCTAACTTGTAACCTGGAAGAAAACAATTCCATTTAGTTTACTGGGGATGATTATTTGGGATTATTTTTCATTTGAACATGGTAATTTAATAATAAATGGTGATTTTTTTGTTTTTTTTTTTGGCTTTTTTTCTTGTAACAGCTGCTTTACCCTTTTGCCACCACTAGAGCTCCACATTACAGCAGTTTTTACCTGGCTACTTGAAGGGTAAACTTTGAGGGTGTGCGTTCTAAGACACGGAATCAAAAAGGTTTCTTGCTGACAGACCATGATTACAGACACACTCCCTTCTGCTTGTACACTCACCAGGCACATCAGAATAGAGGTATTCTGTTGAAAGTACTGTCCAGGAGAAAATGGGCGATTTAGAAGTATGGTCAGTGTATTGTCCTAGGGAATGAACAGGCAGGCCAAGAGGATTAGAAAGGAGATACAGCACTTCCCACCTGGTTTGGCTCTACCCTTGGTTTGCAGTGACTAAAAGTTGTCACCCAGACATCTGTTGGTAGGGCAGAGCAAGGCAAGTCTGTGACCTCAGCTCAGTTCCTGTGGACAGATGCCCACCCCTTGAAGTTGACACTCCCGTTGGCAGTTGCCATCACAGAGCCAAAGACTTGATAGTTGAGAAGTAAAGCCAGGTTGTTTGTGTTCACTGTAATCATTTTTGCTAGATCTCTGTCCCAGGGAGGCTTATCCAGGTAGGCTACAAGGAAATCATAAAATTTATAGATTTTTGAAATATATACACAGGAAGGAACTTCTGTGGGAGTTGGATGACAAAGAGTCTTTACTGAAAGTCTTCTAATTGTAACAGATCCATTCTTAAATTTTCATAGCAACTTAGCGAATCAAGTACTAGTAATTTCCTTTCACAGATGAGGAACCTGGGACTTAGCAAATGACTAATATACTGAAGGTCAGGATTCATGCCATCTCTAAAGACGTCGAAAGACCAAAATCTATGGAAGAATGGAGAATGTTGATTTTGGAGCCTGATAATTCTAGATTGGAATCGTGGATCTGCTACTAAGTAACTGTGTAACCTTGGTAAAATTAGCGAGCTTCTTTCTGGTCCACTTACCTAAGTTCCCCCAAACCTGCCCAATGCTAATAATACCTTTTTCATAGGGTGATAGGATAAATGGTCTGGCACATTAATATGCATTAAGTACTAAGTGCTGTTCTTTTTCTTATGTACTGTTTAACTCTACAGATGGGAAAACTGAGGCCAGGAGATAATGTGTAACTTGCTCAGACCCCAATGCCTTATAAATGGTAGGTTTTCAATAAAAATACTATACTTAATTAAATAAATATACCTATAGAACATTCATGCAGATAATCATACTAGTCAGAGTCTTTCACTGCTAGTCCTTTATAGATATTTATATTAGCATCATAAAGTTTTTTACAAAAATTACAGGGAGCACTTTTGACACTTCAGATGAAGTGTGAGAGAAGTAGGAGGGCTTTTAAGGAATGTTGTGTGGTGGTGCATGCCTGTATTCCCCACTACTTGAGAAGCTGAGGCAAGAGGATTGCAAATTTGAGGTCAGCCTGGGCAGCTTAGCAAGACCCTGTCTCAAAGTAGAACAAAAAGTGATGGGGTTGTACCTCAGTGGTAGAGTACTTGCCTGGCAAATGTGAGGCCTGGATTTAGTCCCTGGTATTGCCAAAAGGAAAGAAAGAAAAGCATGAGAATAGTAAAAGGTCTTTATGCTTTTAATGCCGAACTTAATGCCAATTTTAATTTCATACATACTTACAAAATTTACAAAAAGAGGTTATCTGAATCACTTTCAGACTTTTAAAATGATTTATTGGAGTGTAATTTATAGTTACCTATTTTAATATTTATCATAAATTTATAATTGGGCATCCATTGCCATAATCTAGTTTTAGATCATATTTGTCCCCCTTGACAATCCATGTTTCCTTTTATCTGAACCCAAGAGGAACTTTACTTTTAAAAATATTTGCTTTTTAAGAAACTCTGAAATAATATACTACAAAAGCCCTTACATATCATCAAGGCTGTCTTTAGCAGGATATTTCATTGAGCAGTCACTGAGCTGTGGAAAAACAACTGACACTGGTGACTTGACCTCCCTAAAATTTGACCTTCATATGAGAGAATCAGTTGGTTCTTTGCAATGGCTGTAAAACTCCATCTTGGGTTCTATTCTTGGAGTTTTACATAAAGTATGTGTGCTTCAAGAATACTTATAGAAGAGCTGCTGTGATCCAGCTGATAAATAACAGTGGGAATTAGGCAGCTAACCCAAAGCTGTTTAGATCAGTGTTTTCTGTACCTTTCTCATCAGCCGTCTGCCTCTGGGTGTGCCGGATGGAACATGTGAATGGGAAATAAAGAATCCAAAGTAATCTTAGCTTTGTCCTTAATGTGTTACACCATCTTGTATAAATCCTTTCCAGGTATAGCTTTTACAAACTTTTTCATGTCTTCAAAGAGTGCTGGAAAATGATTTCAAAAGGCCTTTGTCAGTTCTCCTGATCAAATGAGTCTGCCTGCTGTATGTCTGCCAAATGCTGTACCAGGTACTAGGAATACACTCGTGAATGAGGCAGCCATGATGTATGTCCTCCTGGAGCTTCCATTTTAGTGAGGATGATATTTTACAGTGACATGAATTCACAGGTGTTACAAAGTACAATCAATAAAAAAATATAGTAGTGTGCTTTGGAGCCCATGACCAAAATCCCTTTCATTTTTGTAAATACTAGTTTGAAAAATTTTTTCTCTGAAGGTGGGGTATAGAAATTTACAATAGGCAAAAAAATATGGCTTCTGATGAAAAATAAAAGTTCTAGCAAGGGATAAGAAGCTAATCTGCATTACCTCCCTTGACTTCTGGCTTTCCAAGAACTAACGGGCAGATGAAAGTACACTGGTACCTGGTAGACCAGAACTATAGCCCCACTGCAACAAAC